GGCCTCACCATAAAAGAATCGACTTTTTTTTGCCTTCAGATAACATATGGTGCAAGAGTGCTATACATGTTATATATATTGAAGATGTAAAAAGTAAGTGCAAAAGATTGAGTTGAAGTTGATTGCAATTTTCCATTTTTTTGGATTTCTTCTGTTTGGGATAAGTTTAAAATTGAGTTTGTTATTAGCATATGAAAGATATTTATTTAGTTATCCACATATTTTTCAGTGATTTAATTGTGTTGTTATCTATACTAGTGTGTAACCCGTGCGATGCACGGGCTGTATTTATTTGGAGAATATTATAAATCAAAGTGTATTAATAAATAAAAGTGTTACAATACGTAGGGATATTGTCCAATCATAAAATGTTCATAAAGAAATATATATATATATTATTAAAACCTCCTTGTATACATCATTCCGATAGACTAATATTTTCGTTCCTTTCTATTAGTTACACGCGAAACAACAACATATAATTGGTCTTGACTAAAAATAGGTTTATTCAACAACATGTCAACGTGCGACAGTGACTCTTGTTTATGTACTGTCATACGGAACCATAAGTGGGAACCGCTGGAACTTAATTGCAACCCTATGATAGGAAGTAGGTATATTCACTCTAAGAATCAACACCTTCTTGTCAGCATGATTTATTGTCAATATCTTGCATTCGAGCACATGAGTGGAAATTTGGTCATATCTAATCGTATCCCATTGTACAGTTCCATAGAATAGTCGATGTTCTGAAAATTAAATAATCTACACAACTATAAGTTTTTATTAATGATAATGTGATGTTAAATAATATTAAATAAAAACTCAAGAATGTGATATTATTACTATTATTATTACTATTATAAATTAAATAATTAAAATAATTACAACTCTTTAATTTTTTTGAATTGGAAAAGCCACCACAATTTATAAAGGCCAAAAATTATAAACCCAAGTATCTAACACAATTTATTGACCTGAAATTAACATGTCAGCTCAAACTTAATGGGCCATTTTCTTATTATTGTTGGCCTAAATGAGAAGCCCAACAATCCCAAACATCAAATGCATTAAGGCCAATATCAAAGGTCTAGTTAAAATCAGTACATATTCAATAAAACATTTGATCGGACGACCTATATTAGTGAACAATGATCGGACGGTGGAAAATAATTCTTGGCATCTATAAAAGGTTGATTTATCCGATTTTTTTAGGGTTTTCTCATAACCCACTTCTGTATTCTCTCCATTACCTTAAGAATATTGAAAAACAATTCACATTTTTTATGAATCTTATGTTTTTCGTTGAATTACGGATGAGAATTTGAAGATTGTTCGCAGAATTCTCTGTTTTCCTTGGGTTTTTCTTTATATCGTTTTCAAGTGTTTTTCCATTATTCAATAGATTGAATCTTACGTTTTTGTTTATTTTCTGTTTCCATTTTTTTTAAATCATTTCACACTTGATTGTTAAAATCTTCTAAGATTTGTGTTTTTGAGTTCAAAAAAGGTAGGATCTTCAATTTTTGTTTTGAATTTAGTTTTTTCTTTTTGTTATAAAAAAAAAACTATATTTTCTTTCGTTTCTTCAAAAGTAGTCAATGCTTATATATCAAAAGTTTGATTGATTTTTTTTTTCAAGATTTTTAAGGTTTTGAAGTTTTTGACGAATCTGGGAAGTCAAAATCGCACGCCTTTACGAATTTCGATCTCAAATTGGCCTCTAAATCTTGGAAATGATAACGATTTTGCTGTCCTATTTTGCATGTAAATTTGTATAAAAGTTTGAGGTATTTTTGATGTATTTGATTCGAACAAAAGGCTTGTGTTCAACACACGATTGTTCGAACAGGGCCAGTGTTCAATAAAACATATTCGAACAGGACCTATGTTCGAACAGGGTCAATATACATCTAGTCGAAGTTCACTAAGGCTTAAGAAACTGGAGCTAAAAAGGTACTACTAAAAGACTTATGTTGTTTTTTTAAATCTATTGAATTCATATTGTCAACTTCAGTTTATCGATATTGTTGTCATTAAAATTCGGACAGACCACTTGTACAAAATGCAGACTTGAAATTTAAGTTTTTAGTTTAAAGATATATACTAACATAGTTATATTTATAATTGTTTCGTATGTTAGGACCTACAACTTCAGTCACGTTCGAAATATTTGAGAGGAGGCTTCATGATGGTCAAACGATTACAGTACTTAAAAAAGGTATAAACGATTGTTTAGGATTCTTGAAGGTCTTTAAGAATAAAACACTATGCTTGATGAACATTTTAAGGATTCTTTTGATATATAATAACACAATTATTTGCTTTCTTGTTTTGCATGTTTGAACGACTTTAATGTTTTCGGATATTTCGAGTTGCAGCTTCAAGATAATCAAAAACAGAAAGGGTAAAACAGAGGTAAAATAAATTGGTATTTAAACTCTATCTTTTGCATTATATATGACCTTAATCACAGGATTCTAATGTTTGTTTTTTTTTTTCTTTTCAATGCATGGAAATATTGATGGACTTCCTCCGATATCTGAGCATTAACGGATGGAAATAGAATTGAAACAGAGAAGGTAATATCATATAGGAATTTCTAACGTGACATATAGGCAAGTTATTAATCCATGCATATCATCATATTTTCATGCATTATGAGTGATATATTGTGATATTTGGCCCTGGTTATCGTGTGATTGTGCACCAATTCGTTTTATTTATTAAACTATGATAGAGGTGTTTTTGTCGTTGTTTTTGCAAGAAATATGCCCGAAAATGCGTTGGAGATGGAATCGGGATGAAGAACGGCGAAAACGGGTGCAGAAGAGGTCACACGACTCGTGTGGGTAGTGACACGGGTCGTGTGGGTTGAGAAAATAAGAAACGCAGCTACGGCTTTTTCACACGGGTCGTGTGGCTTGTCACACGGGTCGTGTGGCCTCACACGACTCGTGTGACCCGGTCGTGTGACCAGTCGTGTGAGTCTGAAAGTTCGCCGAAACGTTGAGAAAAGTCACACGACTCGTGTGGCATGTGACACGACTCGTGTGACGCGCAGACCAGACCTGCGGGGAATAGGATTCTTGTGCGATTTCTTCCGTTTTTCGACCCAGAATAGCCCTACAGTATAAAACAGACCTTAGGAACTCGTTTTTGGGACTTTTGACACCATTGGAGGCCTAGAGAAAGCACGAAACACACGAGGGATTCGAGGAAGTCAAGATTGAAGATCCGGGAACTAACGGCAACAATAGTTCTTCTTTCTTTTCTCTTTTTCTTTTTCGTTGAACTCATGAATATATTTATTTTGAGTTTTGAGAATATGTTTAGTAGCTAAACCTTTTAGGGATTCTAGGATTTGCGAGTACTCGGATTATTTAATGAAGTGATTTTGTTTATTCATTCCGGTTTATCATTCGTTTATAAATTTCTTGTGCTTTTGTTAATTGTGTGAATATAAGGGCCCGTATTTATGCATATTTGTGATTGACTTGAGACCGAGAGGAGATAGTTGATTGCTAGAATTGGGAAATTCATAATGTAAGGGACTAAACAGACCGAGAGGTTGATAGAATCTTGCGAGGGAACTAGAATCTTAGGAGCTTATGGGAGTTGATTGTTCATCTTGAGACCGAGAGGAGATAGATAACAATTAATATCTACGATTTAACTTGTTCGAGAGAAATGTGTAAATTACTTTAGTGATTATCCCTACGAATGGTAGAATTAAATAAGGTTTGAATGAATAATTAATCTTTGTTAGAATAATCCCGAGGAAAGCATAGCCTAGAATCTATTTTCTCATTCTTGATTTATCTTAGAACAAGCCTTCATTAGTGTTAGAATTTATTTTGCAATCATTCATTAGTTTAGAATAAAATCACCAATCAAATTTGCATTAGACTAAATAATATTTAATCGTTTACATTTTGATACTTAGTTAATTTTGACAACAATCTCTGTGGAATACGACCTTGCTCGCCACTCACTATAGCTATACCGTACACTTGCGGGTAGTGAAAATATTTTGCGAACAATATATACATGAAATTCGTATAAAATTACATACACCTAGGAATTTTATGTTCATAAAATTTTAAGATTGAAAAACTTGCATAAAGTTATGATATTCTACAAAAAAATAAAGGTAAAACAATAAACACAATTTAAAAGATTACTTGTGTCAGTATTTTCATCAAGTCTGCTTCTGTTGATCCGTCTTCCATGAGTTGTGTTATGTCGACCTATAGCACCTTGTTCTTCCATGCTTGTACTTTCTTTCTATTTCAATGTTCGCAATTACAGTAAGTGCCAGATTTCTTATGGTGGAATCTGCAAATGAATACATAATTAGTTTGATTCAATCATGGCATTTAATCAAACAAAGAAGACAAAATAATAAGAAAAGTAAATTTCATATATTGTGTACCGCATCTGTGGAGTGGTTTGTATATAAAAATATATAACTGAAAGTAGGTTTATATATACTGTTGTGCTTATCGGATATTGTTAGATATATGTAAAAAAAATCGGATTTAGATTTTAGTGTATCTCTTAGAATTTTAGTTTTAAATGTTTATATTCGTCAAAAAATTAAATTTTTTAGACTGTGATAATATTGAATAGATTAGCTTTGACTGTAGATGGCAACAAAATTTGCGATTTAATTGCTCACACGGTTTAAGTAAATATATAGCATATTTTATAAAAATATGAATCCAATTGATTTCTATAATCAATAATAACATTTTCTAATTAGCCTATTTATAATTTGATTCAACATAGAATATTGAATAAAAAGAAATATTTTGAACATATTTTTTATAAGCCTGACTACTTATTAATAATATATTTAATTATTAGAATAAAAATCACATCTATTAGATCATGCACATAAGCTGTTTATACTTATTTATGAATTGATGTATGATTTTCTAATGTGTTAAATTTATTGGATGTTGAAATTGCATGTTCTCTAAAGAAATTTTGAAGCAAACATTAAATTGCATGTTACCTAAAGTTGATTTATCGTGTAAATGTAACTTTTTATCAATTTTTATATTGCGTGTAAATGTGGTATTTTACCTCATTGTGCAGGTTGACGACGATATTACAGGAGACATGAAGATCTTAAAAAAATTATTTTACTTACAGTAAAAATAAATTTGATTTTTCTTCAATTGCATAATTGTTAGAAATATAAACAAAAATAGATTTTATATTCATTTCATAATTTTTATTAATTACTAATTAGGATGATTTTTTGTTAATTAGTTGTTGTGGAAGAAGAATTATGAGAAGATTATTCGATTTAAAACCAAGCGTTTCTTAAAGAGATTTGGTAAATCTTGGATATATGTAGATCTCAATTTCAATATAATTTGTACATATTTCATATGCAGATAATATCGGTTGTAATTAAATTTAAAGTGTGTTACGTTTTTTGAAAAATAATTAGTAAGTTTGGATAAGGGAATTTAAATTTTGAAGTTGAATTTGATTTGCTTTTTCCAACAACAGATTCGATTATCAATGATAAATCTCTTAAAGATATCATGGCATGAAATATGGAAGGTTGTTTATTCCATACACCATAAAAAATCGGAATTAAAGATAAATCTCTTAAAGATATCATGGCATGAAATATGGAAGGTTGTTTATTCCATACACCATAAAAATTGGGATAAAATGGCAATTAACACGGATTGGATAATGTGTTTTTGGATTTTTAATTGGTTTCCAAATAAGGGAAGTCAAGGGTGTTGACTTAATTATTTTAGGTTTCTAAAAAAGAATTTAACATGAACCTTTTTAGATATATATAGATTAGAGTAGTGTTAGATCAAAATGTATTACAGGGGTTTGACGATGATTCTTTTTTCTTGTCAACATTTAATTTTTGAAAAATTGGTAAGTTCAAATTGGGCTTCAATTGGGCCCAACGAAAACCAAATACAATTTGTTTCTTTTGTTTACAAGATGGTCTCGTGGAATGTTAATCGAGTGCGTGCTCATTATACTTACTTAAACTTTTTATTGGGCTTAAACTTTTTATTGGGCTGAGTTCAGCTCGTTTATCAATATCAACCTTTACGAGAAATTTACCCGATACAAGCTCACAAATCAAATCATTTTGTTCAATAACAAATTTCATTATTCTCCCTTTCAAGACAGAAAAGCAGACATTTGGTTTAGTAAATAGTAATGCAATGTTTTTCATTTTATTTTCTCTTAGAAAAATTTATTTTTTAATTTCAAATGCACAGANTAAAAAAAAAATCAAAAAAAAAAAAACAAAAAAACAAAACCAATATAAGCCTTTTTTTTTATTATTATTCCATCAAACCACATTACACCAGATCATATCACAGCAGACATTAGACAAATCACTTGGGCCAGATGAATATTAAAATTTAAAGACAACATCTCCAAATTTCACCTGCCCTTTCCCTTTTCTTTTCTTTTCCCTTTCCTCCCATAATCCCACAATATAGAAATACCAACAACTTAAATAAACCCAGCAATAAAAAGAAACAAACTAAAAATAATACCAATAACACAATAATAAACTTAAGCAACTCTTTTCATTTCAGTCCCAACACTTCCACATAATTCCACTCCTCACTCCTCAGCTTTCTTGGTGGCATCCTCTCCAGCTGGCTTCTCCCCTTCCTCAGCCGGCGGCTCAGCCTTCTCATCGGCTGCCGGAGCAGCTTCCTCCACCGGAACCTCTTCTGCTGGCTCGGCTGCCTGCTCCTCGGCCACCGGAGCCGTTTCCTCTGTTTTCTCAGCCGGAGCCTCCTCAGCGGCGGCTTCCACAGCCGCCGGCTCCTCAGCCGCGACTTTCTCCGGCTCAGCTTCGGTGGCGGCCGGCTCCTCAGCCGCGACTTTCTCCGGCTCGGCTTCGGCGGCGGACGGCTCCTCAGCCGCGACTTTCTCCGGCTCGGCTTCGGCAGCGGACGGCTCCTCAGCCGCGACTTTCTCCGGCTCTGCTTCGGTGGCAGCCGGCTCAGGCTCTGGAGCCGCCTTTTCCTCTACAGCTGCAGCTTCTTCGGTAGATTTCTTAGCCGGAGCTTCCTCTGTAGCCGGCTCGGTGGCCTTTGGCGGCTCGTCAGCGGCTGGAGCCTCTGTTTTTGGGGCAGTGGCAATTACTTTCTCAGCTTGGATAGTCTCAGTCACTTGTGTAGACACTGATTCAACCTGAAAATAATAGTAATTGTAATTTTCGTTTTTTTTTTTTTTTCAAAAATTATG